TATGTGCATTAGAAATCTGTTTGAACACGCATCGTTTTGGTATGTATGTGAGCCACTTTATAGTGTCAAACACGCATTAGAAATACGCTTTAGATGTGTTTAAAAACAAGTATGAATTACAAAATCTTCTGAGTATCAAACCCGCATTTAATACCTTTATAAATACGCATAAAACACATTAGTTAGATATTATTTAATGCGATGTTTTCTTAGTATAAAATGTGTATTTAAAACTTTCCAGAATACGTGTTATTTGCGAATGCATGTTAACCATTTTATCAAATAATGCACGTACACGCATATTCAGACGCGTCTGAAACGTGTTTCTATTACGTGCATACACAAACGCGCATATACATTGGCTTTAAAAATAATAACAAAAACTAATAATTGTAAATAAACTTGTACAGTGTTCAATATGCATATCTATATTACAGTTTTTATAATATAATAATAATGCATTTTATACTAATTTTATAATAATAAAATTACCATAAAACTCAAAACTTACTAGTGTATAATTTCCCTTGTATTATATAAATGTATTATTTTTTACAATTTATAACTGTTTATACAACTAAAAACACACTCCACAACGTAATATTCAAAAATTATATTATTAGACAAACGGCTACAATCGATTTATCAAAAATAAGATTTGACTATATTCTACTTGGTACATCATTAAGGTGAATTTCCACTCCGTTTTTTCAAGGGAATGGGAAAAGGAAAGGAAAAATAATCACGTGGCCTGCGTATTATAAGTTTTAATTTGTCCGAAGTAAAACTACGCATGCTTACGTGATTATTTTTCCCTTTCCTATCCCGTTCCCGTAGAAAAAAGGATGAGTGGAAACTCACCTCAAAAAAGAACGATTTTCAAGATAAACAAAATTTCTGATGATTTTCAATAGTTCTTGAAAATTCAATAAACTTTTGTACGAAAAAATATACTTATTTAAGCATAGGAAAAAAAACCCAACCAAATGCTTACAATCAGTTTAAAGTAAGATCATATACCACATCCTCATAAATTCTAAAATTTTCAATTAGTTTAGTATTATCTTTTTGTATTCAATAAATACATAAATTCAAAAACAACTTTAACGTATATATGAATTGGTGAGCTTATTTTGAATTTATTATCGGGTATTTACAATTTTAGTTATTATTTTCTATTAGCTATATACTATTTATATATCAATTTTTTAAAATTAATTTAGTAAATTATATTTGAATTATAACAAATGAACTTTCTTATTTATAGAAATTTCAAAATATTAATAAATTATTGAAACCTCCAAATTAACAAAAATAAATCTCCGAATTAATAAGAAGGAATAAATTTACAACGTAAAGAAGAACAGCTAATGATTTATAGTTAAGAAAATTTATTACAAATTGTAAAATTGATGTTATTGTTTACAACTCTAAAATTTTTATTCTTCCTCGTTATGAAATCCATTACTTTACAATAAATTTCGTTTTTACTTGAAAAGTTTTCCTCTTGGGCATCTAGTCAGAAGCAATGAACTGGTCTCCAGCATTTAATTTAAATTTGTTTCTGAGCGAAGCTGATATGAGTTTATTATCTTTTTTTCATTGTCATTATAATTTATCATTAACTTCTGTTACAAAATTTTATAAATGTACTTGTGCCATGAACACTTGATGACTTTGCATTTCCAGTATAAATAGTCACTGTAAAAAGTGAATCTTTATAGTATAATAGATACTATAATTACTAAAAAAATAAAGAATTGGCTCCAACTGCTAACTATCGGAGCACTAAATAGGAAGTCCATGAGTGCTTACATCAATAGATATGAAGTTAATATTTGCTTCAAACCTATGTAATTTTAAATACCGTAATACTTGGTTGATACATCAATACTACTACCTAATACTTGCTTGATACATCAATATAACGTTCAAGTTAATATAGTTCTAATGCTTGAACATTTTTTTGGTATTTCACATTTTTTAGTTTTTTGAGGCTGCATTGGAATTATTAATACATTGTTTATTGCATCTCTTGTTAAATTTGCGCTTAACATACACTGTTTTGGGTTCAGAATCAATATCACTAAATGCAAAATCCCTAAAAAAATCAACTCTATTTTAACTATCATTTGATATATCCAGTTTACCGAGAGATAATTATTTTAAATCATTTTTACTTGTTTTCCGGTAACGATAGATCTTAAGGTAACAATTCACCTAATGAACTTTAAAACATATTAGTTGAAACTGTACTAGAGATATATCTATTATCACATATAATATACGTGATAGTAGATATATCTCTTGAACAGTTTAGACTGATACTTTGATACGCACTGATATGTTGATACGCACTGATATCTTAATACGCACTGATATGTTGATACGCACTGATATGTTAATATTGTGAAAATGCTTAAGCAGAACGATGTATATTTTTCTGCTAAAGCATTAGGCCTACTACATACTTTATTTCTATGACAACTACACCAACAATAACAACAACAACAATATATAATTAACCAGAAGTATAAATAGACTTATTGTATCAATAACTCTGGTTTTGTTTTTGTCTATTATATCACATATATTATGTGACAACAGATATATCTCCTGTACAGTTTGCACTGATGTGTTGTAAATGTATTGTTTAGCTAAAGCACTATAACAATATGATAATTGTGGTAGTGCTTTAGTTGAACAATATCTCTTTTTATAACTTAATATTAATATTAATTAAAACTTAAAAATATAAAACTAATAATATATTATTTAATATAATATTGCTCAATATATAACATAATGAAAGTATCATTATTATATGTAAAAAGCTTTAGTAGAACGATATTTCTTCGGAAGAGGTTGGTTTTGCCAAAACATTTAATTTATATCACATTAAAAAAAAAATGTGATTATTAAAATTATCATTGCAGTTTCGACGCTAACTCACGGTCTAGAACTCTGTAAAAATAAAGATTTAAAAATCTCTATATAACTCTCTATTTAAAGTTCAGGAAATGTCAACTTGTATACAACGAAACAAAATAAACCTATTTATACATCTTTTAAACAATAAATTAACTTTTGAAATCATTAATCCCTAGCTTATCTATTGTTCAGTTGATTACTCCCATTTGGATAAATAAATGAATTATGCAACACAATTAAAAACAAAAAAGTCGGATAATTTTTAATGCAGTTTTGTACTAATTATTTCAATAGTTTTATGCAAAAATTAAGTTCAGCAATTTATCAAAAGAATCTTTCCGTCAACTGCAAGAACTTTTTAAGTTTAGTGACGTTTTTACATGCACCATAAGTTTTCTTCATAAAAGCTACCAAAACCAATGCTATTATTATCAATACCATCACCACCACCAGTAGTTTGCAATACAAGCATGGTGCCAATTCTTTAAAAGTGATATTAATGCACTTGAAATGAGTTCAACTTTATGCTACTAAATGAATACCTCAGATTTTTAAACAAAGTTATAAAACAAGAAATAAAAAACTATGCTTAAGTAGACTGAAAAAAAGACGTAAAAGAGGCGTTTTCAAATGTACAATTTATTTAAAAAAATAAATATAGAACTAGATAGTAATATTTTTTGCATCAAATCAGCCCATTATAAAAGGCCATAATTTCAGAATCAGAAGAGAAATTGCTGAAAACGGCAATCTTTGTTATCAATTTTTAACGAATAGAGTCTCATCAATTTAAACAAACTATCTGATTTTATCATCAAAAGCATTTCGTTATCGGGTTAAGTTGCAAAGAGTTGGGTTAGGTTAGCTCACATCAAGCTTATGATTGAATTTTATGAGAAAAAAGATGAATTGAACAAAGGTTTTGACTTGCATATAAAATTTTGCTCTATTTTTTTGTATATTTAAAAAAATAATGCAAAAATTAAAAGTCGAGAATAAACTTAACTGGGCCAAACTATTCCAATGGTCAACGTTCACCGGTCTACCTTTAATCAATATTTTAATTAAATATTTATTAAATTATGCAATAGTTGTTTGTTGTAGGAAAGAAAAAAAAGTTACAATATCTTTATCGCCGTATAATAACTCATTATTTAAGTTGTCTTTTTCCATCAAAACCTTTTCTCAGTCAAAACATATTTTTAGAGGTTTCTCTTGAAATTGTCCTCTAGAGTAGCATAACATGCATAACATTCGGATACCAAAAAATACTCCTATCCAGATAGCTTATCCGGGACACCCCTATTAAAGATGTTAAAATTATGAAATGAAGAGAATCGAAATTTGAATGATTTAGTTAAAACAATATGGTGCTCAATAATAAAAATATTTTTTTTTTCATTGATAATAAAAATAACAGAAAGAGCTCTTTCTGTTTTTTTTTTATTATCAATTAAAAAAACAAAAAAACAACTATACTGTAACACAAGGTTACTTTGGACAGCGGGGTTACTTTGGCTATTTTTAAAAAGTTTAATTAAAGTAACCTCGACCAAAGTTACTCCGCTGGCTAAAGTAACCACGTGTTACAGTAGTTTTTCTTTGAATAAATTTTTATTCAACCGGATATCCTGGATAATTTTAGAATATTTGAGTGTTCGATATCCGATTGGATAATAAAAATGTTATCCGGGACACCCCTAATCTTTAATAACTTTTATTTTGTCTGTGAATAATATACCGTTGTAAAACTAGTCTGACTAAGTTTAGTTTTTGTAATATTTAATAATTTAATTATGTTGGGTCTATATTGATATATTAATAGAGCAGCCGTGACGCAGTTGTAGCGCTCTTGCCTCAAAAACAAAGGATCTGTGGTTCAAATCCCACCTATGGGCAAGTTTTGAGACATCGGTTAGAAAGGAGGCGTGAACTTCAAATTAAATGTTCTACCGCGATGCTCTGTCATAAGACCGTTAGGACTTCTTGGGGCACCTAAATAAAATTAGAAAAAAAATTTCATCATTAGTTTATTATCATTTTCTAAAATATGTAATAAACAGAGTCCATTGAACTTTATGAGGTAACTTTTCGTTAAACTAAATTTTGTTATTAAAAAAAAAATTACATAAATTGAACTAAAAATTGTTTGTGAATTGGTTTTAAAATAACAAAAGTTTTTTTGATTATGCTTCGATTTTTATATCTGCACAATTAACGAAATGTTCTTGAGGACCTAATCCCATACCACAATTTCCTTTGTCACATCCCCAGTTATTTCCACCTTTGTACCACCACTGCAGGACACATCTTTTGCATTTTAAACCTGAAGGTAGATGGGCTTTGATTTTATACAAGTATTTTCCAGGTTCTGTTACAGTAAACTGCGTTCCTCCAGATTGTAATTTCAAAAGTGTACCCTTTAATTTTCCAATTGAATCTCCTGAGACTTGAGTATTTGTAAAGTCACCGACTCGAAACTCAAAGTATCCCTTATGGCTCATTGTCAGCAAGACCTCTATGTCAATGATTTGTCCGCTTTTGTAAACTTTTGATATTGTACCCGTTGCATAGCTGTAAAATTAAGTAAAATATATCTTTATTTTGTAATAATTTTTTTTCCTTGCCTTTCACCTCCTTTGCCCTTTAACTGTATAACAAAAATTTATAAAAAAGTTTTCATATAACAATTGTTACAATATACATTAGCTTCTTGTAATAATAATAACATTAACAATAATAATAATAATAATAATAATAATAATTATATATATATATATATATATATATATATATATATATATATATATATATATATATATATATATATATATATATATATATATGTATATATATATATATATATATATATATATATATATATATATATTATTCTGACCTTCCGCCGTCCATATGTGGCTGATCTTTTACGTGCCAAGGATCTCCACAAACTCCACACCGTCCGCCATTATCTATGTTCATAACTGTAGCACCTCCGCAAAATAGCTCGTTGTCATTGTAATTTACTGGGGTTTGAAACCCAAATCTCCACATGGAATTCCGAGCTGGAGGATTTTGTAGATAACCATGCCCTAAACAAAGTTGGGCAATGCTTAAAAGAAAGAAAACAGAATATAATTTCATTGCCTTTGGATATTATATCTTAAGGTTTATAAATGTGTATTAATTACAAAAAAAAAATCAAATTTAATTTGAAAAGCAAATTTATGCAGCTTTAAAAACATTTTTGTGTTTTGAGTCTTTTTGCTTACATGGAAGCATCTTATTGGGCACCACTAACCAATATTTTAATAGGTATATTTGATCGACTGTTTGCTAACTTGTTTAAGCTGCTATTTAATCAAGTTTTATTTAAATAAACTATTTGTTTAATTAAGCGCAAATTAAAGAAGCACTTAATGTATATCAAGTGAAATAGATGAATAACGTTTTAAAAACGTTAGAAAACGTTGAAAAAGGTTGAAAATATTATTAAACATTTATTTTGAAAAAGTTAAACATGTTTTTGATGCGTTTTTCTTATTTTATTTCATGAGTTTATTTTAGTGCGTTAGTTCGGTATGTGTGTAGTTAAAGCCAAACATTTTGTAAACAATATGATTTTTTTGAATATTTGATTAAACCTTTCATATAATATCTAATGTTTAATTGAACTTTTATTTTGATAAATTTTCATGTATATTTTAGTACTCTACTTTTTTTAATTACTTTTTATTAATTGTATTTAAATATTAAAAGTTTTTTTTCTGCTTGATCTAAATATATTTTATATGATATATACTTTAGAAAAAAAAAAAAAAATCACCTTTCATCATTTTTTTATGAAAGATGAGCCTTAATAATCATAAATTATTTAAAAATACTAGAATGAATAACTTAAGATTACAAATTTTAAAAAGAGTAGTGATACAAATTTTCCGGTAAAATTTGATTCAAAATTTATCGGTATATATTAAATCGGAGAGGGTAAATTTTCCTAATAAAAAAAAAATTTTGCAAAGAAAAATAAGAATAAGTAAAAGAAAAAATTAAAAATTTACCAGGCGGTAAATTTTTCGGTAAATTTTACCTTCGCAACAATAAAAAAAAGTAACTTTTATTACTTTGTTCTATTTTCTTTTCTTACGTTACCCCCTCGTTACTTATTACTCTAACCCATTTTCTTGCCTTACCCTCCATCGTTACCTGTTATCTACAATAAAAAAAAAAAGAAACAAAGTATCCGTGCTTAATTTTATGTAACTACTTTATATTGCATGCGACTACTTGTTCTATATTGCATGCAACTATTTACTATAGATTGCATGCAACTGCTTATTTTATTAATTTGCATCCAACTATTTCTTTTATGTTGCATCCAACTACTTACTTTATTCAGCATACAACTGCTTAGCTTATAATAGTTTTTTTACTTTACTTTTAGTTTATTTTTACTTGAAAATTGCATTGCGGTATCATCTCCTAAATTTTGATTTGTAGCATTGATTTGCTGTTTCATAAAATCTTTAGTTTATTAGATAGTATTAAAACATTTGAAGAGTGGATTTTCAAAAGAGTGTAAGTGCCAAAGCCCCTCATTTTTAGTTTACTGCTTAGATTTGTTGTAAATGCCATTGATTCTCATTTTACAAAAGATAGGAGCAACACTACTGCTCATAGTTTCTTAAATGCACACTAAACTTGTTGTACAAGTCATAACGGTGTAAAAAAAACAACAGTTTTTATTGCGTCTTAGAAAATTTTATTTTTGACACTTATAACCTTTTCGAAATGCACTCTTCATTTTTTGAACAATACGCTTTAGTATCCGAATTGTGAATTGCCGCGGTTTAAATTTTTAAGTTACCACATTTTTTTGAGTTATTCTGTCGTTAGTTTGTTAAACAGTGTTAAAAATTGGCATATTAGGATGCCTTAGTGGCCGAAAAAAATTATTAGTTTATTGCTCTTCAAAATTACAACGCGAGGGTTTAAATCCTGTTGCATGCACATTAGTTATAATTATTTTTAAAAAATAAAATAAAATAATAATAAACAATAAGTTACTTGAACAATACAACCAATTTATGGTTTTCACATTTTGCCCTTGACTTTAATGATTATCATTGGAATTTATTCATATTTATCATATACTTATATTTATATCATTTTATATACAGCTTATATATGAATATAGAATAGATTGTTTTCTTCTAATTCGGCTAATTGTTTTACAAAATATAAAAGTTTGTTATTGAAAGGAAAAAAAAAGAAAAAACTAAGAAAAAAAAACTAGGCAAGAACAAAATCAAGATCAGATAAGACTGGAAATTATCACAATAAATTTGTAACGAATCAAAAAACCTCTTATTTTTATACCTATTTTTTTTTTTTTTTAATTTTTTGTTGTTGCTGTGAAGGTGCTCCAAAAAAACATATTGGTTTTATCACAGAGCACCATGAAGGAGCATTTAACCAGGATGTTTAAACCTCCTTTTTTACCAATGTCGTTTTTGGGCTAGCGTCGGAGTCAAACCACAAACCTCTTGGTTCTGAGCCAAAACTCTAACCGTTGCGCCACCGACGCTATACTGGTTTTATAAAAAAAAAGTTCTAATGCTAATTAGTAATTAGTTTGTATGCTAATTAGTTGTTAGATACACTAAAAATGATTTTCCAATAGAAGTTTTAATTTGGAATGTGAGATTTTTTTACGGAAAAAGTTTAACATGGTAAACAGTTTAAGTAAAAAAATTCAAAATACAACTTGTTTGATTTCCAATAAACTCACTTGTTCCCACTACCAGAATGTTCACTAATTACGTCAACAATTTTTCGCAAATTTTTACCTGCTCCCCTCCCCCTTGTCAACAACTTGTCAAACTTGCAGAGACCCCGTCTCCCATACTTTAAAATTGCGTCAACAATTTAATGAGCCGGCAACCCCCCTCTCCTCCCACACCCCCAAATGAACTAGTTTCGATCATAGTGTTAAATATTTACCATAATTTATTTACAGTGCAGAGTCAAAATCCGTGAATGTGCCAATCCTCCTCAATTCAACTTTAGACCTAATTCAAATTTTACAGTTAAAGCGAATTATTTTTAATAGAGTCTAGTGTGACAAAATCCGCATTCAACTAATTGCATAAACCAGAAGTCGGCAACCTTTTTAAACGTTAGAACCAAAAGTAACAATTTATAAAAAATTTTCAGTTTTCCACCATCTTTATTTTAATATTGTATTAATATCTGTGCATAGAGCTAAAGAACCACATCTTGACATCGAAAGAACCACATGAGGATGGCGAGCCGCATGTTGCGGACATCTGGTATAAAAATTTAAATAATATAATGAAAGCTATGTACTTGTATAAATCTTTTTTGTTTGTACAGCTGACTTACTAACAGCAACTTTAAAAAATTATAGTGTTAAGAGTAAATATCGCGATTTAAACCTAAACAACGAATAAAAATAAAGTTTCAAACTCCCCCTATTTTGTTGACGTAATTAATTGACAGCCCCCCTACCTAGTTGGCACAGTACGTTTTTTAAACGTTCTTTGAGCGTTATTATAAGGTTTAAACCTAGACTGGGTAATTCCGATTTAGACAAGACACCTTTACGTTTTGATTATTATATAATTTTCTTTCATAATTTATGTAAGAAAGTTTCTCCTCAATAAAAATAATCAATGAACTATCATTTATGCAATCACACCCTAGTTGTTCTCTATAACTAAATTTATAATAAAATAAAAGTATATAACTCATTATCGCTTCTCGGCCTAATGGCTAAGATCAAGTGTAGTATCTTTTCGTATTTCGGCTCCGGACCATCTCTCGATTTGTTACGGTGTTAGTCGCTTTTTCAGTGTCTCCTTCTAGGTCCGAAAATCTCAAGGCGATCCGTCCAATCCGGACGTTATATGGAGATAAACCATTAAGTTGGCGCTGCTCAGTTTCAATTAATGAACCCTAAAATCGGCCATAATCCCTTAAATGGGGGCAAAAATGGGAGTTTCGGCTTCCTCAACAAAGCCGCCTTCTAGGGCCCTGTGTAAGTCTGGTTTCAGCTTCAGGTGTCTCTATTTTTTTTTTTAATTTAATTATCATTATTTTTTATTTTCCTTTATTTTACTTTAATGCATATTTAATATTTCTATTTCCTTCTAAAATGTTACACTTAAAAAATTCTGGTACATAACTAAACTCTCCTAGGACTTCTCCTTCTTCGACTCTTCTTTCCTTAGTCGTTAAACTTGTATCCATTTCTTTTCTTCTTTTAATCCAGGGCTTTGGAGCAGCTCCGGAACTGGAGCCGGAGCTATATGGAGCTGGTAATTTTAAATGGAGCTAAGCCGGAGCTAAAATATTTCCTGCCCTTTGATATTTTGAAATACCCAATTTCTATAAATTTGTTATTATATATATTAAGATTTTTTTAAAGAGTTTAAAAAATTACGCTCAATTTCTAAATATAGCATTTTTTCATATAATTTATAAAAAAAAAATATAGGAAAATTTTATAATATACAAAAATATATAAAAATATAACAATAATAATAATAATAATGTAATAATGATGTGTGTGTGTATATATATATATATATAATATATATATATATATATATATATATATATATATATATATATATATATATATATATATATATATATATATATATATATATATATATATATATATATATATATATATATATGTATATATATATATATAAATATATATATGATTGTTAAATAATAAAAACACAACTTGAGATTCGAACTTGAGATTTATATTCGAGTTTATAAAATTGCTTTTGTTTACTTTCAACAAATCTAAAACGTTTTTTTAAAATTTAATTTTTGTTCAATTATTTTGTCATGTGGTGCTTATTGTAGCGTATGATAAGTTACTTTAAAACAACACTTCTAAACAATTTTAATTATTGGCTAAAGGGTCGTCCATAAACACAATTGTTCTAGTGAGAAATTTAGAAGACCTTTATTTTTAATAATATTTTTCAAAGAACTTTTCCTTATAAATGGTCCACGGTATCGAATTTGAAACGAACTGAGTTTTAAATAAGATCTTGGAAGAACAAAATTATTAGTTAAATACTTTATGGGGTATTTATGAGAAATTTCGGTGAAGTAAGAGTGAAATATATTAGGAGATAAACC